TTTTTATTACTGATATTAAATAACAGTTATTGCTTTAATGAATAAAAGTGGACAAACTTTTTTTGAGGTTAACTTTTTACAATACACAAAATCATGACCACCGAATCTGCAAAAATTAAATATTAAAAATTGCTGTATAATAAAAGTTGGCAGCAACTCAAACTTTTTTTGAGGTTAATTTTACAATACAGAAAATCATGATCAAATAGTAATCACCGAATCTGAAAGAATGAAAATATTAAAAATTTGCTTTTTTTGAGGTTAATTTTACAATACACAAAATCATGATCAAATAGTAATCAGCGAATCTGAAAGAATGAAAATATTAAAAATTTGCTTTTTTTGAGGTTAACTTTACAATACACAAAATCACGATCAAATAGTTCCTTTAAATACATTAGTTTAGTCTCCTGTAGTCTATTCTCCATGTGTGAAATCTTTGTTGTGCGTTTATAGAATCAGCTGCTTTGATCAAAATTACACCAACATGTTTTATACCATTGCCACTAGATGGCACCATCTGCTTTCGAAAATATTGCCCTATGGCGGTAATATAATTCAAACTAATAGCTAAAATTAAAAGTAAATTGATTTGAATAATGGCATAGACTGCCAAACGAATAAGTTAAAATTTTATTTTGTTATTATATTGTAACCTAAAGAACATATTTTTAGATATTTTTTTCATCGCTGTGGCTATAACTATGACCAATAATATAAATAAATTACTTTAACAATATAAATTTTTTTTTTTTCGGTTCAACTTGATTAGATTAGAATAACTTCCGTGTAATAAATCATTTAAAGACTTGAGACATTTACGAACTATATAAACTTGGTATATAATCCAGGTGTATATGGTTATATCTTTGCGATGAAACTCGTAAGCGGGAAATTGTACATGTTCACGATATTCACCAACGTTCGAGACATTTAATAGTTTCTATGAGATGATGATGATGATGATGATGAGGAACCTGGTGAAGGTATATAGAATAGAAAAATGGGTGGAGGGCAAATTTGAGAGGTTCCCCCCCCTCCTCTGTCTACTCGCGGCAAGTGATTGCCAAGCATTGTAAATCATAATTTTATGAGACACACCATGGCCGCGCTTCAAAAGAATAGCGAATTTTTTTTTCTCCCTTCGTTCCCTTATCGATCGAATTTTTTTACGACTTTGTAATTACAAAACTTGTTACAAATTTCACTTTTTATAGAATTAATTTTATTCAAGTTGTTTTTATGTAAAATTAACAGTTTTTTTTTTACTCTTTCATCATTGGGTTAATTTCAGTAAATTATTTTAATATTGATCAGTAATTAATTAACCTAAATTTCAATTATCTAAAGAAAAAAAAATTTTTTTTTCAATAAGGGTATAAATATTTTGATAATAAAATATTACTTCGAAGTAATGATATATTGTTAATAATTTAATGTCATTTATAATTCAGGCCACTTTTATATTACTTGAGAGAAAGTATATAGTGTTTCTATAAAATTTACAAGAAAGTATTTCAATTTCTTTAAGATGTTACTCAATTACAATATAGTCGACAGTTTTCATTTGATTTTAGTTCAGATGTTTCTAAAATTAGTTTCTTCAAGTTCATTAAGTATCGAATATAGATATATATATATCTCAATAATTGAGTTTATTTTCACTTAAGGCGTCTATGAATATATTATTAATTTCTATCAATGCAATTTTATAATTATCACTTTAATTATATATCACCTTAAAAATTCAGAAATTTTAACAAAGGTACAAGAAAAATTTCTATATAAAAGACGAGATTTGTCGTATAACATATTTTTGATGACCCTATATCAATACACATGTTTTACCTGTAATATATTAAATTTTCATTTCCATAGGGAATTATTGTCATTGTTACGACGTATAATATATTATACTTGAAAGTTTATTCATTTTTGTGATTCTCTATAGTTTCTCTCGCTTTGGAATCGTGAATCCTTCCACTTTTAGCTTTACGATCTTTTTTTTTGTGGTTTTAAGAGACAATATGTGTCGTACATTACAGTTTACAATCATTCGTAATACTAACAAGTTTCTTTTTTTTTTTTTTTTAATGAGAGCAAAAACTATTTTCCAGATACTCTTTTTGTAAAATCATTTTTCAAAAATTGTAACCAAAAATCATAATATTGAAAAATTATCCCAAAAAAAAACATGTATATATCTGTAAAGAATTTAATTTTACGATTATATCATTTAGGTATATGCTATATTTCAATTTGTGGATGAAATGAAGGACAGTTCATTCATGAAGGCCAAATTTATTAAGTGATTTAAGTTCAATAAAAAAATGCAATGAAACTGAATAGCTCTTGTGCTATTAAACGAACGACACTGGTTCTGATAAGTGTTACGAGTTTCTTGTCGATTTTTTAACTTGTCGAAAAATTTACAGTCCATAATAAACGCATCTTTTTATGCAAAGTTTATACTTGAAATTAAACCAAAGGAACAAGAAATATGTAAAAAAAAAAAAAAAAATTGTTTTTAATCAAAATGCAAAAAATTTAATAAGCAAATTTTTCTATATTTTGTTTTTCTCTCAATCATTAATTGTTAAATAATATTTTTTTTTTTTAAATATATTTTCTTAAAATATTAAATAGTTTTCAAAATTGCAATATGAAAATATATTACTTTTCTGCATTTTATTTCAGCGACTTGACTATAAAAGTTAACCGAAAAAAAAAAAATTATCAGCTCTGAAATCGCGTTACGGTTACATCCATTTTTACAGCCTGCTCGCGTAGACGGTTTGACTATATATATTTATTCTTTCTTTGCCGAGATTAGAAACCGCGGAAAAAGGAGTCGCGACCCAGGGGGATATAAGAGAGGTGAGACAGAAAAGGAAACCGGGTCTCGTCTGGACGAAGAGCGTCGTCGGTTGGTTGCACGTATGAAAACTAAGTCCGGGTTTCATTTGACTGACTTTACGAGGGAGACATAAAATGGATTTTACTGTCGGCTAGTTCGCCAGTTCTCGAGTTGCTAACATTGCTTTTGCTGAGCATAATATATACGCTACTTTTGCCTTTGCACCCTCAGCCCTCGTTCTCAATATACATATATATATATATATATTTTTTTTTCCTTTCATTCTTATTTCATCCTCTTTGATATAAACTTATCTTTTGGGTATCAACTTTAGAAAAAACTGAAACTTATTAGTTCAAAATGAGCCAAAGTGGCGCCACCTATGAGGCATAATTTTGTTGCAATTCAAAATGAGCCAAAGTGGCGCCACCTATGAGGCACTTTAAAATTTGTACGAACGTACATTACTTATTTTGAGCTAATGTTTAAAGAAATTAATAAAACTGAAACTTATTAGTTAAAAATGAGCCAAAGTGGCGCCACCTATGATGCACTTTAAAATTTGTACGAACGTACATTACTTATTTTGAGCTAATGTTTAAAGAAATTAATAAAACTGAAACTTATTAGTTAAAAATGAGCCAAAGTGGCGCCACCTATGAGGCATAATTTTGTTGCAATTCAAAATAAGCCAAAGTGGCGCCACCTACGAGGCACTTTAAAATTATACATTATTTATTTTGAGCTAATGTTTAAAGAAATTAATCGCGAGTTCAACTTTTGTTGATTTATTAAAAACTTTGCATTATGAAAAATGTTCCGAGAGCGAAACGCGCCTTTGTAATATTTACCTCGCATAACTTTGCATTATGGTCGTTATTTCCGGTTCTCGCCCTCTGTTTTCCTCTTATTCAACCGGTTTCTTTACCAACTCCCGTTTTAAACTAATTAATGTAAGAGAGCTCGTTGCCATTGATGGAAAATGAAAAATGTTCTGTAATATTTTGAACTGCAATAAAAATGTGCCTCGTAGGTGGCGCCACTTTTGCATGCCTCGTAGATGGCGTCACTTGTAGAAAACTTGCAATGTCAAAAGAATTTATTTGATTCAAATAAATATTTATTTGATAATAGTGAAATAACTGATTTGAATTAAATCAATTTTTTTACACATAATTAAAAATTCAGTAATAATTGCCAGTCAAAGACAAATTACAAATTTCTTTTTTTTACAATACATTCCATATTTCGTTTATTTCAAAGTTGGATTTAGTTTCCTTTGGACAATTATCTCTCTCGATAAATGAAAAAACAAATTATTCAGCAGTAAATGCCAGTCATAATCATACATTACATTTTTTTTTTAAATTTACAGTTTTTTTTTAAATTGAATTCCTAATACACGTATAAATTCTAATTAGAATAAGGAAAAAAAAAGATTAGTTGAACTTACACCTGATTGACAAAAAAAAAAAAAGAAACGATTTCAAAAAAGTATTTAATATATAAAAAATTGATTACTGAAGATTTTATTCATAAAACCCAGTTCAGTGATTCAGTATTGCATTTCTAAACTCAACTTTGATATACAAAATAGATTGACAAAAATTTTTGATAATAAATTTTGTTCCTATATAAAAATAACTGATAACGCATAGAAAACATTTATTGAGACCTTTTTTTTTCTTATCGTTTCTATAATTTAGAAAAAATTCATTATTAATTAGGCAATAAAAAATATTCATAAAATGTATTTGCACAATTTAAACGTGTTTTAAAAGTTGGATCATGTTATTTATCAGAATAAATTTATCATGTTGATAAATGCAAATGTGGCTATAAAATTAAAAGGTTATTTTGAAAATGACATTATAGTAATAGGTATTAAAAAAAAAATAACTTAGTAACTAAAGTATAAAAATATTAATATATAGAAATGATAAAGAAAAAGATCAATAAAATGATATAATTTATTGCAATAGAAAATAGTTAATCTATAAAATAGTTTAAAAAATAGTTTAAAAAATAGTTTAAAAAATAGTTTAAAAAATAGTTTAAAAAATTAATAAAATAATAAAAATTTAATAAACTTTTATACATATAAAAATTATGTTATTTTCTAATCAAAATTTTCAATTTACAGATTGACCTAAAGAAAAGCAACTTCACGCATGGAGACTGAATGTGGCTGATTCCAAAGAAGAAAATTGAACCGAATTAAAAGAAGATGAAAAAAAAAGAAGTTGAAGAACGACTTCGGCAAAAAGCCAGAAATCCTTTGTTATTCGACTTCATTTAACATCAAATTTGCTGTATCTCCTATCAATCGATTGTTCTCTAAATAATATGTTTCTTAAAAATTCGGCTACGATATTCAAAATTATATATTATTTGTAAATTATTAAATTTCATCAAAAAACTGGGCCAGCGATTTATTCAATTTTCTTTTCAACTCCAATGGAGACAATCCAATGGAATCGAAAACAAAAAAAAAAAAAAAAAAATTATAGAGTTTCGCTAATAAAAAAAAAAAAAGTGAGAAAAAGTTACTTGACAGAAATTAAACAGAAAATCGCGGAAAATAAAATAGATTGCAGATTGTTATTCGTTGTCACTCTAAAATATTTTTAAACATTCTTTTTATAATTAACGAAATTCAATATTATCTTTTTTATTATTCAAATTTTTTATTTGTAAAAATTGTTTCTTTTTTTTCTAAAATATTTCTAATTAAATTTCTATAGCAAAAATTTTATATAAATGAGAAAAAGAAAAAAAAATTAATTTTGCACACAAAATTGTTGGTTGTCGAAGAAAAAAGACATTTGGTCAGAAAATGAAAAAAAAAAAAACGCGTTTGCCTTTTCATTCCCACCTCGAAGGGGTTAATTTTTACACAAAAATAAAATCGAATTAGGCCGCGCCACCAGTTGTACCGGACATGGTAACGGCAAGGAGGACGAAATTGTTCGTTGGCATGAAAAGAGAGCAGGTTCGTGATAAAGCGACAGCAGGAAGCATCGACCACAATTAACCGTAAAGAAGAGTAGTCCGAGTGTGCGAAATAATAATACTGCCGAATGAGAAAAGATGCGAAAAAATAAGAAGTGTGGTACAAGAAAGCATGGGGGGGGGAAAAAGAAAAGAAAGAGAAAAACGAAGAAAAGTGATTGAAAATTGTGAAATAATTATTCATTTTTATCTTTATATTTCATTAAATTTTCTTTTTTCATTTCACTATGCTGATTTTCATCGTACTTATTACTTAGAAATTTAATTTTTCGACTCAATTATCATAATCTAAAATGTTTACAATTCTTATACAAGAAAGCAGACGACGATTTGCTGTTTACGTTGGTATCACTGACTTTCTGTTGCCATGACAACACGTGCGTTAGAAAAGGACAAAAAAAAAATGTATAGGCAAAAATAACTTTATACGGTGAAAATTCGCTTTTGAATAAAAAAAAAAAAAAAAATTAAGAAAAAATACTTAATGAAATAAAAAAAAAAGGGAAATGTTAAGAGAAAATGGATATGAATGAAAAATACATAAAATTGCTGAACTAATAAAATTGCGTATATACAATGTAAGTCAGTTTGCAAATTTGTTAGTTCCTTTTTATTTATTTATTATTAGAATGGAAAGTCATGTATAATTTCTCCAGGAGACTCTTAGTTAAGTCTTTTTTTTTTATCGTTATTTTAGAGACTATATTCTAGATTTAGAGATGTAAGCAGTTTTTGTTCCATTGTTACGTGCGTGTATACAAAAACCAGATGTACTGAACACAATATATTGAGTTGTGGTTGAGAAAAGGAAGCAACGCATCTTATTATAAATATATACATATATATATATTATAATTCGGTTAAAGTGATAATAAAAGTTGGAACTTTTTCTCTTTTGTTTGTAACAAAGATTTTGATTTGTATAAAAGTTACAAAACAATGCCCCCTATCCTCTCTTCGATTCTTTAATGTTTGTTGATGTGCGTGATTGAGAGTGTAAATTTGGCGTGTTTGTTCATTGGTGTGTTTGGGAAAAAATTTTTTTTTGCGAAAGATTATCTTTGAGGAAAGTAACGAACTTGTTACTATGAAGTTAAAATCTCTTGTTTGGGAGGATTTTTTTTTTTGGACGTAACGAACCCAAAGTACGAACACATTTTCCCCATTCGTTCTAGACTGCTTCGTGGGTCTATGGAATTATTTTTTTTTCTATTTTTTTTTTAGGAATTTGTGGTACGTTAAGAATCCCTCCTTGAACAAATACTGCCAATAATTTATTGCGCTCGAAAATTTGTTTAGAAAACAGAAATGAAAAACAAAGGGGAAGTTTTTTAATGATGGTTATTATACAGGAATTTTTATACAATTTTTTTTGGGGATTTTGTTTCAATTCTTTTTAGCTAATTTTGAATTTCGTTATATAAAAACTGTTACGTTGTGATTTTTTTTTTTAAAAAAAGTAAGAATTTGAAACAAAATTTATTTTATGAACCAATGTTACATAAAACATAATTTCTTTTATTTCCACAAGTTTATTGTTCTGTTAACAAAAAAGAAAAAAAAAATTTCTGTTTTATTTTTGTTTCATTTAAGATTACTTTTTAAGATAATTTGTATAAAGACCGTCGTTTAAGATTGTGTCTCTAATTTTAAGAATGTAAATTTTTTTTTTGTTAAGATCACGTATGTACATTAAAAGAAATAATTGTACTTTTCTTGTGATAGCCACAAATTTCTTATATATATAAATATATATATAAAAAAAATATCTGTAGTTCTTAGAATGACTGAGTGTTCAACTTTAGGTTCGTATGTCAACGTCATACGTTTTAATCTTAAATTTAAGTACCGTCGCCATATTTTTTTAAAAATAACTTTTAATCATAATAGCCCTATATGTCTATGTGTATACGCTATAGAGAAACGACTTTTAATTTAAAAAAAAAAAACAATTAATTTTCTTTTCTGAAGAGACTGGCCGTTAATCTCAATCAAAATTCCACTATAGAATCGAGATAAAAATCGTTTCTTAATGGTTAATAATTAACGGAATTTAATTCCATTCAATAACAACAATAAAAAAAATGGAATTCATAAATAGGGAAACGAATCTATTATCTCAATCATATTATGTCAAAAAGATTAGACCGTTCTACATATACTATAGATAATTATTGGTCGTCTCTGGACATCAATGCGTTCTTAGAGTCCGTTTAGACGAGCATTTTGTAAATCTTCTTTTTCTATAAAGAATTTTTAGTTTTTAAAACGGTGGACTTTAAAATGGGTTTTATTTATGTCATTTGTAACTTGTACACACACACATACACATATATAGAAAATAATAAAAACAAGGGATTATAAGTACGATTTTAATGCTCGTCTAATATATTCGGTTCTTTTATGTATTGGTGCAAACAAAAAAATTTGTTTGTACTTTTACAATAAAAGCACTTTATGAACTATAATAAATTAAGACTAACATGACATTGTAAGAAATAAAAAAAAAAAAAATTCAGATGAAAATAAAACGAGAAGTGTACGAATTGTATGCACGAATCTGTTCGTGGAATCAGTGTACTACTTGCTGTGTTTTAAACGTTCAATTATAATAAACAAATAACGATCGAAAGTTGATTATTGTGTTTTATTTATCATTTTTCTAATATTCTCTGATCAACGATTGCCCAAAGTGGTACTAAATATTTGTTTTTTGTCATTTATTATTCATCATTAATATAAAACAAACCTTCTTTTTGCAAGCCTCTTCAGAAAACGAATCAGAAACAAACATAACCTATATTGAGTTGAAATCACCTGATTGGTCCAGACTAAAGTAGCGCGCTAATTTAAAATAATAAAATTTAATAAAATATAATAAATTATAAAACTTGAATTTACAAAAGAAATAAAAGCAAAGGAGAACACTAGTTGCTTTAAAAAAAAGTAGTTTAAAAATTATAAATTCTGATTATTCTAAAATGAACAATTAAAATCATTTAAAATCTTTTACAATTAGTAAATTAAAAATTTCAAATTAATAAAATCAATTAATTTTATGAAACATTAAAAATCGTGACTTAAGTGGAAACAATTCTTGTATGGATATAGGAGAAAATGACTGAAAAGCCTCTTTATATATAATGATTTTAAAAATGATTTTAAAAGCAGTCTGGAGTTTATAAGTGCCCCTTATAAACGTGTATATAGGCCTATAAACTATAAAAGTCTCGGTACCGCTTAACTGCCACGTCTCAATATAAACTAAAAACTATATTGCTTATATTCCGTAAAATGCAACTTGTGTTTATTCGTCTCACGACCAAATGACAGAATTCCCATTACTCTCGTGCGTGACTCTTGTTGTCCTTCGGGTTTAATTTTTTTTTTGTCCCCATTTCACCCTCTTACTACTTCTATATGTAGAAAAAAATCAAGATTGTCCATTTTCGTAAATTATTGTTTTATAGAATTTTAATAAATAAAAATCTAATAAGAAGTTGATAGAAAAGGTATCAATTTTTCTTTTTCAATAAGAAATTGGCAAAAAAAAAAAAATCGAAAATGAAAAATAATTTGAAGAAATTAGAAAAAAGAATAAACAAGAGAAATAGAATTTTTTTTTTGTTAGAAAAATCATTAATAATTTGATTTTAATTATAATTTGTATTATGTAATTTTTTTTTCAAAATTGTAATATTTTGAAGAAAAAGTGGATTTGAAAATTTTTGCAAAAAGATATATTTTAAAAAAGAGAAGAATGTTCTTAAAGACGCGAGTTTTTTAAAAAGTATCAGGATAGCATGAACGCGGAAGAGCTCTTTCTCTTTTCTCAATACATTGTCTATCCTTCTTTTCTCTCCCACTTCTTTTTTTTTCTCTCGAGTTATATATATATATATATATATATATATTTTTAATGAATTTCAGAAAATATATATATATAGAAAAACTATTGATAATTTATTGTAAATCTTATATTAATAAAACTCCCCCCATTGATGCGTTATTTCTTTATAAATTATATCAAAATAACAGAATCACGAAAGAGGTATTTCTCTTGATTTCGCTCTCTTTCTCTCTCTCTCACTCCTCTCAAGGATTTTTTTGAAAAATAGAACTTGTCATCTTTTTCAATGATTATCTATAAATGTTAATGTTACGTAACATTATTTTTTTTTAACTATTATCATTAAATTAATATTTGTACAGACTTTTCAAAAAGAAATTTAAATTTATATAATAGGAAAAGATATCAAATGTTTAAATAATAAATGTGAGGTAACATAAAATTTGTTAATTTAATTTTTTTAGAATTTTTTTATTACTTCCAATATCATTTTTTACTTTCGTATACTAATTAATAAAAAATTTTTTTAAAAATTATTTTCGATTACAAAAAAAAATTTAAGAAAAAAAAACAACATTTATAATTTTTTTGTAAAAAAAATTGTTTTTTTTTTTTTTTTTAAAAAAAAAGGAGTGGGGAAAAAATTAAAGATCTCTTTCGTACCGATAACTGCAATACCAATAAAGAAACTTTCACTAAAATGTTCACTCGCGAACCGATAGATTTGAATTTGGCGCTGTTTCTTTCTAAGTGTTGTAACCTTCATTTATTTATTGCTGCATCTAATTGTACTTCCCCTAATAAAATTAAAAAAAATTTCTAGTTTATTATGTTTGTTATAATCACACGTGCTTGTTAATTGTATCACACAATTTGAAATATATAATTATTGTAAGTAAATAACTATTAATTTTAATTTTATTTATCCTCAAAAAATGTGTTTTGAAAGAATCTAAAATTTTTGAAGAAAATGATCTATATGATATTAATGATTGATAAATAATAAAAAATATTATTTTTATACGCATAGTTTTTTTTTTTAAATAAAACTAAATATAATAAAATTACTGTTTTTCAAAAATTATATTCTTTTCGTAACATAACCTCAAAAATTATATTTAACGCCTGCTGTAATTTTTTCTTTACTAACTATATAAATTTTAAATTGTTAGAAGGTTAAACAAATAAAACAATAACATTTGGACAAATGGTGTTATTTAATAAAATTCACTCCAACATTTAAATTGTAAGTTGTAATTCCCTCTTTGGTGTAGTAGATTTTTTTACATCCTACGACAAAAAAAATTATTATTATTATTACTATTATTACTATTATTATTATTTTAACTTGCAAAATTTAATTTTATTACTGCACTATATTTAATTTTCTCATTTTTTTTATTTCAAAATTTCCATAAATTCATTGATTGCAAGTTTATATTTTCGATTATTTTAATAATATTATTTTCTACAATTTTTCTATTCTATTTTGTAATAAATTTGCTTGGCACAAAATAGAGAAATGTAAAAAAAAATTTTTTTTTTTTTGAAAGAATAAATGTTCTATTATTAAAAAAATATTATAAAAATAATAACAAAATTAGATAAAAAAAAAAAAAATGAAAATATTTCTTGTTACAGTTACGAAAGAAAAAAAAAATGGCCACAACTCTAGAAATTCAGGAGAAAATTCAACGATTTGAAACATTTATAAATGATCGATTTCGTGTTGATCTCGCTGAATTTGAAAAAAAATTGGACTCAAAAAATTCAGATTTAGCTGAATTTATTCAATTGAAAAGTGTTATTAATACTTGGAAGGATACGGAGGCAGATAAAAATGGTTTTAAAACAAAAGTTGAAATGGGATGCGGTTATTATGTTCAGGCAGCTGTTGATAATGTTTCGAAAATTTTATTAAACATTGGTTTAAATCATTTTGTTGAATTTTCACTTGACGATGCACTTGTTGTAATTAATGTTAGAATTAAATTGTTAGAGAGACAAATTGAAAATTTACGAAAACAAATTGCAATCACAAATGCTCATATTAAACTTATTTTACTTGGTATTCGTGAATTACAAGACAAACCATCCAATTCTTAGTTGTTGTTTTTTTTTCATAAAAATGTAAATACAAAAACTGTATATATATATATAATTAAAATAAATTCTTTACATTTTTTTTTGTAAAATTTTCTAATTTTTTCAAATTTCTGATGGAAATTGGTTATGTTTTAAAATTCAAAATTTTTATCATCATTTTTTCACTCTAAAGCAAAAGGGGGTTTGAAACTTTTGTCTTTCTTCAGAAGTCTCATTTGCTCTTAGGTATGCAGATATCAGAAAATCAGCTTTCGATGCAATTTTTTTTTTTTTTTTTTTTCAAAAACCCCGTCTTGTTTCACTGCTTCCTTTTGCTTCGCAAAGAACACTCAAGCTAAAGTCGAAGTACACTCTGTTTTAAGTTAAGTATTCGCATGCTTTATTTCAAGTGCTTGTCACTGCACTTGTGCATAAATTAAAAAATCACCCTATGTGCGTTTTGCTCCTTCAATTATATTATCCCGTTAAATTTTCCAAAGACTTGAAGGTGTTTTCAAATTTCCTTAAACGCTTTACTTTCTTCTTCACAATCTTAGCTTGACATGACAACACCATCTCAAGGGTTGTTTTTGCATAAGATTAAAAAAAAACCAAATTATTTTTATTTTTTGCCAGTTTTTTTCCCCCTCAAAAAAAATGCCTTTTTTTCTGTTTTTTTTGAGCTAATTTTAGATTTTACATTTTTATTACAAATTTTCGCAGTTTTTTTTTTTTTAATTTATTTTATTAACATTTTCATTTATAGATAATTACCTTTTTTTTTGTTCATATCTGCGTTTTTTTTCTCATTTTTTTCTTAAATTAGTAAATGAATTTTTTTTTTGCGAATTTAAAAATTGGAAAATAATTTTTTTTTTCTTATTCGTTGAATGGAAATAAAAACTCTTTCTTGGAGAAAAAGCTTTTTTGGGAAAATTAAATTTGGATTTAATTACATTTTGTAAATTTAAAAAATTTGATGTTTAAAAAAAATTTCTTTACCGACAGTGCCGTTTTCATCATATGGTAACATTTTCTGATAATATATCAACTGAAGGTAATTTCAGAATGATAACAGTAGAAGTGAATCATAGATCGATAAAACAGAGATTTGTTAAAAATTTATTTTGCAAAAAAAATGGAATTGTTTTCATTAAATAATTTATCATTGTCATTATTGACAATAATTATCTATTAAATAATTCAATTATTGTCCATAAAAAAGATAATTATGAAAAATGAATTTTTTTTTCATTTCAATTGACATATGAATTCCGGAATTCTTCACAAGAGGCAGCACCTTTCGGTACTATTATTTGTTAATAAATTTAATATATAAGGGACTTTAGAGATTAACATCGTTAATGTATTAAAAAAAATTTAATAATATTAATTTTCAAAGAATAAAATAATTAAAAAAAAAAATTAAAATATTTAATTTGTCGTCCTCGTGACGTCACTTGGTCAAGAATTTTTTTTTGTTTTTCACATCGTTTTTCAATCATTTATGTACAGATATGATTCAAAATTAAAATTTACACATAAATTAAACATATGAATTGGAAAAAAAAATTCTATTTTAATTTATTTCAAATTTTGCTACTTTTTTAATATTTTTTAGCAATTCACATGTAAAATGCCTCTCAATTTTAAATCTCATTAAAAAATATTCATTTTTAAAAAGTTATTGTGATTTATAATTTTTTTCAAATATATCCCCTATAAAGGTGCTCTCACACCTTTTTGGCTGCCTGCAGGTTACCATGACAACGCATGAGAGTGAGTGCGACAACAAATTTTCTGTCTCACTCACACTCGTGCGTTGCCATGGTAACCTGCAGATAGCCAAAAAGGTGTGAGTGCGCCATTATAATTAAAATGTTTAATTTATCGTCCTCGTGACGTCACTTGGTTAAGAATTTTTGTTTTTTAATTTTTTTTAAAAAGATTTTTACAAAAAAAATTTGTTTTGGCGAAAAGAAAATCTTTATCTGGAACAGCGATAATTCGCTGTTTCAGTGAAATATATCGCTGTTCCAGGTGAAGATTTTTTTGCCATGTATATTTGTATTTGGATTTTTTTTTTTTTTGAAAATTAGAAGAAATTTTTTAGAATTTATTTTTTATAGAGAATTAAAAAGAAAATATTCAATTTCCTAGAGAAAAATGTTTTTATAATCTGCTTTGAAAATCAAATATTTAACAGCAGAAAGGTTTTGTGTTATCGAAAATCGATAAATTCTGCAATTATTTACAATCGCGTTCAAGAGTATGATACTTATTTTTTCATAGCTGGATTATAAAATAATAATAATGATTTAAAAAAAAAGCATGAAAGATAAGAAAAGAAGATGAAAAATATTGAAGGATGCTATAAATTTTTTTTTTTTTAAATACTCCAGACAAGATTTATGATTTTACTTTTCAGAATTTTTTTTTTTTTTTTTATTTTGATTTACATAAATCGTAAATATTCGCAATATACGTCTTGCTGTGACTTTTTTTTTCCTATACTTTCAGTTTCGTGGTTTGAAACTGATCATATCATATATGGCTTAATTTGACCTAGAAACTTTTTTAAAACGTTCACTTAAAAGTCCAATAAAAAGTGGATGTAGAACACAAAGTTCATGGCATTTAGGTATCGTGCAGATAAGTAGTCTTTGACTGCTGCGGAACCAAAACGAGGGAAGATCAATAGTCATAAGACAAAGTAAAGTCAGCATTCAATTTTTGATTCATTACTTTAAAAAAAAAACTATTTCTAAATTTTTTTTTTTAATGTTTCGTCTAATTTATATAATAAAATCGTGTAAATTAGACGAAACATTAAAAAAAAATAATTTTTTAGGTTCAAAGCAAGGTTATTTGGAAACCTTGCAACAATCTTGCTACAAGCTTACACTGCAAGTTTACTGAGCAATTTTGCGATCCTGCAGTAACCTTACACTGCAATCTTTCGGTAAGCTTACCATGCAAGCTTTCAGTCAGGTGGAACATTTGAAGCTTGCGGAAAGTTTGTCGTGCAAGGTTGGCAATATTGCGCGGCAAGCTTGTCGCAAGGTTGCTGCAAGCTTACGTGCTATCTGGATTTTTTCAAAAAAATTTTTACTTTAAATATAAGTAAAAAAAAAAAAAAAAAAAAATTATGTAACAGAAACTATGTAATAATAAACATGAAAATTCAAAAAGGTTAATATAATATTTCTATTGATACAATGTATCTTTGAGTTGCGTTAATACCGAGAAGAAATTCAATTAAAAGCCGTGTGCTTCATACATATGGAACATGGAAAGTAAATTCTAAGAAATTCTAGGTCGAGAGGGTATAAATTGAGTTTTGTAATATTGATCGAAGAAAAAAGGTAATGCAAAAAGAGAGAGAGAAAAAAAAAAAAAAAAAAAAAAATACAGTAAAGAAAAAAAATTGGCACAGAGCCGCGGAAGTGAATGCAGTCTCTGTTTTAAAGCTCCGGGGGTGTCCAGCCATGGTTGTGAGCTGGTTCACACAGGGTTGTATAGATATATGGCTTCCCCGTGCTGTCATTTGAATCAGGATTAACTTTGAGTACTCTGAACAGGTGCAGCCAACACGTACACAAGTCCACAAGCTTTCAGAGGGGGGGGGGGAAAGGAAGGGGGTTGTGTCAAGTCAAAAAGAACTATTTTTTTTTGTTAAAGATTTATTTTCCCAAAAATTTTTTTACTTTTGCCAATTTAGAAATAGAAAAATAATAAAATTGTATTTTTAATTAAATTAAAATAGAATTTTTGTTCTAAAATCAAAAGCTCGAAAAGAAAATAAGAAATATTTATAGAAAAATAATTTTTAATTATTATTTTATAAAAAAATGGATTCAAAAGTCACGATTCGGGAAAAATTTTTTTTTTTTTTTTTTTTTTTTTTTTGACCAATCAGAGCCGTTTGAAAAGTGACCTCATTTCAATGTCATGATTTTAATCTTGAAAGGGCTCTGAAAGAGGCTCAATTGCAATGTATTTTGTCGGGTTCATCGATCAGTACTTACAGCCCTGACTGTTAAGCCTCTACCAGGGGGTGCATGCCCTGCAGATGAGCGTGACTGGAACAGTAGACTACTAACGCTTTTAAAGGAACAAGTCGGTAAATTGTGTGATTCGCGATTACAATATTTATTGAAAAATTTAAAAAAAAAAAAAAATTTTCTCAATTCTAAAAATTTAGTAATAAATTCAAAAAAAATTTCCCTTTTCCAAATTTCTCACAATACAAACCCTCAACGAGAATCTATCGATTGATCTCTTTTTTTTTATCGGTTTTTTTCAACTTTGGTTTTTTTGTAAGAAGTTTACTTTTTTCCTTATTTTGTTTCTTCAATAATTTATTTATTGCACTATTTTGTTTTTTTTTTATATAATTTAATTAGAAAATTTTTGTTTTAGAATAATTTATTTTTTAGGAGAATTTTTTTTTATTGACAAATTAGAAATATTTATTTAATACACATTTTTGTTTATTAGAGAATTTGTTGAAATAGTGAAATAATGTTTCTTTGAATCAAAGACATTTTTTTTTTTTTGAATCAAAGAAAAAATTTTTTTTTTTTTTTTAGTAGTTATTCCGTGTAATTTTGATAAATTTTTTTTTTCCACTAAAAATCGTAATCGACTAAATCAAGATTTTTTTTTTTTTTTTTTATAAATAAAATTTGTATTTCACAAATTGTTGCAGGCTAAAAAAAAATTATTTTCTTTAATAATTCATTGATAATTAAAAGTTTCTTGTGGTTAAAAAGTTCCGCGATAAACACTCGCTTTATTCATCAAAGATTTAATTGATCCTGATAGACATGACTTGTTGACTAATATTAGAAATAACGTGTAAATAAAATTTTACCAATATTTGCTTTCGCTTAAATTTTAATTTCTTTTATCAAAATTTTTTCTAAATAACTTTATTTATTATTATTATTATTATTATTATTATTATTATTATTATTATTATTATGTTATATTATATTTGTCTTCATTATGGATCAATAATTTCTAAATAGCAAAATTATTAGTTTAAATTCTTTAATAGTTTATAAAATTAATTAATGGCTGAAGTCATTTAGTAACTAAAATTTTAAATAATTGTAAAATTTACTGAACTATTTTTAATAAAATACATTATTTAAACTTCATTTAGAATTTAATATTTAATGTCGAATGTTTGGATAATAAATGTTTTTTAACAAAGTGGAGGATTTGATAAATAAAAATAAGAAAAAAAAGTTGAAATATAATCAAAATATATGAATTATTATGAGGGAAAAATTTCTTTTTTGTGAAGTCTATAATTTCACTACATTTTGCACGTTTCAGACTATGATTTGAGAGTTCCGTACACCGATTACCTCGGTGACGTTGCAACTTTGATTACTTCATCACACGTAGTTGGTTCTCATACAACCTCATCATATATATATATATATATGTTTACAAAACTTGTACATTGCATATGACCATTTTCAAAACTTTAGTAAACAAATTTCAATACAAGACAAAAAAAATTTTCCAAAAACAAAAATTCAATTTTAGAAAATTTTGAAATTTAAGAAAAAAAAATCAAATTTATATAATTCATATTTTGTAAAATGCAAATTTTTAAATCTATAACTGAAATAAAAATTTATTTAATTCAAACAATTATACTTGACTATTATCAAATAAATATTTATTTCTTTTAAAATAATTATTATTTTAGATGGTATAATATATTTATTTCAAAAAATTATTTGATTCAAATATACAGTTTATTTAATTAAATTATTTGTTTTTAAAAATTATTTGTTACAAGTAAATATTTATTTGGTTTAAGTAAATATTTATTTGATAATAGTCAAGTAATCGATTATTTGAATTTAAATTTTTTTTTCCAGTTTACGTTAAGAGCATTTGAACCTTCGTGACGTCACAAATCATGGCGCATGACACGTAAAATTTCTCAGGTATGTGAAAAGCACAATTTTGAATATTTTTTAAAAAAACCTTTTGGAAAATGTTCAGAATAACATAGACTCTGTCTGTTATGTGCGGAAAATTCAAAATTTTGCGTTTAAAACGTTTTTTAAACAATGTTAAGGTCACAAATCATGGCGCATGACACGCAAACTTCTCAGGTATGTGAAAAACACAATTTTGAATATTTTTTAAAAAAACCTTTTGGAAAATGTTCAGGGAAACATAGACTATGTCTGTTATGTGCGAAAAATTCAAAATTTTGCGTATAAAATGTTTTTTAAACAATGTTTAAGTTGGTTGTCACAAGTAAGGAAAAATACACGAATTGCTTATATGTAGGCATTGTTTAAAAAACGTTTTATACGCAAAATTTTGAATTTTTCGCACATAACAGACATAGTCTATGTTTCTCTGAACATTTTCCAAAAGGTTTTTTTAAAAAATATTCAAAATTGTGTTTTTCACATACCTGAGAAATTTTACGTGTCATGCGCCATGATTTGTGACGTCACGAAGGTTCAAATGCTCTTAATAAAATGCTTTCTAAAGAATTGAAAAATAAAAATGCAAATGGAAACAAAGATATCGAAATTACTTTTTTTTATGAAAATGCAAATAAAATAACAAGTTTCTAAATAAATTTTCTTGACGTTCCATCTATTAAAATGCATAAATTTTTGTTTTAAAAATAGACAACAGTTTTGCACGAACATTTGAATTTTCTTTTTACTTTTAAATTATTTTTTTTTTTTTTTCTATGAATCCATAAAGATTCATATATTTTACAACGTAAATTATATTTTTGCAAGTTAATAAATTTAGTTTTGTAATGAAATTAAATATATGCAAAAATAAATATTAATAATTTACTAAAATATATGTATTTCTCTTTCAATATAGAAAAAGTATAGAAAAACAATTGTAAAGAATAATAATTTTAAAATTTATTTTTTTTTAGATTTCCACTTCCAGCATCAATGAATCGTTAATTAGATAAAAAAAAAGGCAAAGTTTTGAATAAAACTTGCGTGTTTTTTTTTAAAGATTGAAAAAAAAATAGAGAGAGGTAATGAAATGAGGCATTTTGAGGAAGATCGAAATATTGGAAAATCGAACTCGTGGACACGACTGAATGATAAAACTATAGGAAGATCGTTGTGCGCTGCACTTTATCTTCACCCGTACCGGGTCCTATATGACGTATGAGTTTGCAACCTGCTCCCGCTTCCGTTAACTTGTCACTTTGTCATTCCCCGATCGGCTCTCGACAACGACGTGAGGGGTCGGGTCGAATCCTCCACGACGTGTGTTTTGTCTTCTCTTACATCATCGACATCATTTTTTTTTTCTTTTTTTTTTCATCTGATAGACGAATTTTTTCTTTTTCCACTTCGTGATTCGTGAGAAAAAAAAAAAAAAAAAAAAATGGGCCCCGTTGAAACGTATCATTTTCTCGTCGATGAAATTTCAGGTAAGTTGATTTTCAATATGAAATTTATAATTTTCTTTTTTTATCTTTATCTCTTTCTATATGAAAGAAATTGTCCCTTCAATTCACCTCAATCTCTTGATTAATTCAATTTCCCTTATCAATTGCCTCTCATCTACTTCACAATACCCCCCCCCACCCTCCCTGTCTCTATCTCCCTATTTCATTTGAATGTATATTTTACAAATTATTGTCCACTATGAAAAATGTTTCCTTGATTCAAAGATATCTTTGATTAAAAAAAAAAATTTCTTTAACTTAAAGAAAAAATTATTTTATAGAAAAGAAAATTTTATTAATATTTTTTTTTAGTTTTAGAATGAAAAAAATTTTTAATTAAATAAATCTTTAAATTGAAGAAAAAAATTTTTCTTTAATCAAAGATTTATTTGAATCAAGAAAATATTTTTCTGAATATAAGAAAAAAAGAAAATTATAGCTTTTATTTTGAATTACATTATTTATATATGTTAAATTATTAAAAATTTACATATATTAACATTTTTTTTTTATAATCGCTTTGAACGTTTGCGTACGATAACAATAGATACCTGAAAACCTGTCAAACATCATTTAAACAAGGACGTTATTACTAAATTAAAAACTATTGTATTATTGCACGCAATACTTGTTCTATATCTCAATCATTTGTTTTTTTTTTTATAAATGTAAAAAAAACAAGTTTCGTATCTTTAGATATCGAGGTTAGAATTTAATAATAAAAAAATTATTTTTAATAAAAAAAATTATTTTTTATGTAAAAAATAATTTTTTTTTTAATAATTATCTTTTTCAAATTAATTTTTTGTTTCTTTCATTGTCAGATAAATTTTTTACTGATACAAATTTAAAAAAAAAAAAAGAAAAAATTTTCTAAAAACGATTTCTTATACTGTAATTACAGATCCGAGAGTGGCTGACTGGCCCCTCATGTCTGGTCCACTTCCCATAGCACTGATTGTGGGGGGGTATCTTCTCTTTGTTTTGGACCTAGGACCTCGATTAATGGCAAATCGAGAGCCATACAAACTTCACAACATTATGATTGGTTATAATGTTGTTGTTGCAATAGCTAGTGCTGCTATTTTTTACGGGGTATAATTTTCATTTTCAAAATTTATTTTATTAAATTGATAGAAAATAAAATTATTAAATATTATTTTAATCACTATTTAAAAACAAAAATGTTTCTAAATACAAAAATATTTAAATAATTTTAAATTATGTTAAATTTCCATGTATAATGAAGATAAAAAATTTTTTAAAAAAATGCGCTTTTTTAAACTGTTTTTTCTTTTTTTTTCGTGTATTTATCATGTTTACTCGTTTCTTTAAAAAAAAAAATTTTTTTTTACGATTTTTAGTTACTCACTTCCGGATTTACAACGTCCTTGTCCTGGGGTTGCGAGCCGGTGGATTTTTCCAACAGTCCAGAACCACTTAACGTGAGTTTTTATTATTAATGCGCTGTTGAAAACGCGGTTTACTATTTTAAATAGAAAATTATGATAGAATAAATTATATACACCTACCACTATTTAAAAAAAAACTTCATTTTAATATTTTTCATAATTGCTTTTTACTAGTTTTAGTGGTTTTTATTTCTCATTAGCTTTTATTTTTATTATTATTATTACTTGGAGTAATGAAATATACAACATTCATTAACCATTGACAGCACGTAAGCTTGCGGCAAGCTTACTGCAAGCTTCAAATGTCCCACCTGAACCAAGCTTGCATGGTAAGCTTACCGAAAGATTGCAGTGTAAGATTACTGCAAGATTGCATTGTAAGGTTACTGTAAGATTGCATTGTAAGGTTACTGTAAGATTGCTCAGTAATCTTGCACGGTAAGCTTGTAGCAAGGTTAGTGCAAGGTTGCCACAAGCTTACTGTGCAAGCTTACTTAGCAACCGTGCGATTATTGTGCAATCTTGCACTAACCTTACAATGCAATCTTACAGTAATCTTACATTGCAATCATTCGGCAAGCTTACCATGCAAGCTTGGGTCAGTTGAAACATTTGAAGCTTGCAACAATCTTGCGGCAAGCTTACGTGCTATATGAGAAGTAGCAATAATTTTCAAAAATTTCTACTTTCAGATGACTAAGTGGGTTTGGCGAGTATTGTTATTAAAAATTGCCGAATTGGGAGATACAATTATTTTTATTCTTCGGAAGAAATACAATCAATGTACGTTTCTTCATGTTTATCATCACGCTGCAACAGCTATTTTAGCATGGGTTGTCTGTAAATACGCACCAGGTGATTAAATATCAATTTTTTTTTAACATTGTCTTATGCCTATATATATATATATATATATATAATTTGCTTGAAATATATTAAATTAATTTGTGAGGAAAATTTTGAATAGATGAGAAAGTTTTGTTCTCCAATTAATAGTTTAATGTCAGAGTGATCCAAGAAGTTTGTGAGTAACTTTCATAGTTGTTGACTTGAAACTATTCAACTGATTATAGGAGGTATGTGGACCTTCGTCATGATGCCTAATTGTCTGGTGCATGTGATAATGTACACTTACTACCTCCTTGCTGCCTTGGGTCCAAAAATACAAAAGCGGCTCAATCCATTCAAGCCTTATCTAACAATTTTACAAATGGTTAGTATCGAAAATTAATTAAAAACTTAATTTCTCTAATATTTTATTTCTCATCAGTTTATTTTTTTTTTTAACATAAAATTATTTATATATTTTGATACAATTTACCTCTGGTGAAAACTATTGACAAAATTTGTAAAATAACATATAGCAAAAGGCAAATAAGATTTTGTAAACTGAATATTGAAATTGCCTGTCGGTCAGTTGGCTTAGAGAAAGCGAGGAAAAATGTCCAATGAAAATCGAAAATGTGTGTGTGTATATGTGTGAAATGTTTGAGGGAAAATCCTTGGATCTTCGAATCTCATCTCTAACTATATGTATGCTACTATCATTTTTTTACTTTTACATTTCTCTTTCAATTTTTCCCCATAGCAAAAACTATTTTCCCTGCGTCTTTTGTAAGCGCAAAAGAGCAAAAGCACCAGCTTGAAATTAAACGAGCGCGTAATCCGATAAATCGTTCCGTCAATATCGTCGAGGAAATAATAAAAAAAAAATTCTTGGTCGTTGAATTATTTAATTAAAAAAAACGAGGTTGTTTCATCTTTATGGTCAAAAAGGTTTTGGACGAATATTTGTGATTTGAGAATAATTTTTCAATAGAGAAAAACTAAAGCGACTGTAAAAATTTTAAAATAAATATTTTTAGAATATATTTTATAAGTGTAAATTAAGTAAAATAGAATTGCAAACGTAGTTTTAAAATAAGGACTAATAATTTTCTCCTGAGTGCAAAAGTATAATTTTTCAAATGCCCTATCTGCAAATTAATCCTAATTGAAAATTAAACACATTACCTGCTATCTGTTTCCATATATAATAAACACAAGATATTCAATTAAATTTTCATACTAATTATTAAACGAGCAACATATTTCTTGAATAATTACAAGACTTTATATTTAAATAGAACTGAGTGACTAAAAAGTGGGAGCCATGTTGAATGAAGTGGAGAGTGACCCTCGCGTTATCAAAGATTAGTGCGTGACCTAGGTTATACCGACAACTCGTGTACCAAGTCAAAGAAAAATGCAGATTTTCTTATCGTTAAGCTGAGTTCTTTCGCACTCACGGCACGCATACAATGTTAGCGAAACGAAAACTAGCAGATGGACTGGGCAATAAAATGAAAAAAAACGAGGGTTGTACTTCAACAATACCAGAGATTTATCACGCTTTGTTCCGATTAGCCGCAAGATAGTGGACTTAAATGCATGCTAGGTTAAAGAAACAGGAACTAATAAAGCAAATTAGCAGGGAAATAAATGTAAACTTGCTTACTTTGGTGGTATTCCCGAACAATTATCTTGCAAATTTATTTTTTAGAGAATTTTTTAGAAATATATTTGAGTGTAGCTCAGCATCCGCTGGACCAATCAAAAAGTGCGCCATAGATTTTTTGTTCGAGACTTTTTGCTCAATTTTTTGGCATTATTCCCGAGTCATTATCTCGCAAATTTTATTTTTCTAAAATTTATCTCCCGAATATTTTAAGTGTAGCTCAGCATCCGCTGGACTAATCAAAAAGTGCGCCATACATTTTTTCTTCGGAACTTTTTGACTATTTTTTTGGTGGTATTCCCGAACGATTATCTCGCGAATTTAATTTTTCGAAAAATTTCCGAATTTGTTTTCTAGCTTAGCTCAGCATCCGCTGGACCAATCAAAAAGTGCGCCATACATTATTTGTTCGCTACTTTTTGCTAAAGAATTTGGCGGTATTCCCGAACGATTATCTCGCGAATTTAATTTTTCGAAATTTTTCCCGAATTTGTTTTCTAGCTTAGCTCAGCATCCGCTGGACCCATCAAAAAGTGCGCCATACATTTTTTGTTCGCTACTTTTTGCTAAAGTATTTGGCATTATTCCCGAGTCATTATCTCGCAAATTTTATTTTTCTAAAATTTATCTCCCGAATATTTTAAGTGTAGCTCAGCATCCGCTGGACCAATCAAAAAGTGCGCCATACATTTTTTCCTCGGAACTTTTTGACTATTTTTTTGGTGGTAATCCCGAACGATTATCTCGCGAATTTTAATTTTCGGAAATTTCTCTCCCGGTTTTTTTAAGCGTAGCTCAGCATCCTCTGGACCAATCAAAAAGTGCGCCATACATTTTTTGTTCAGAACTTTCTTGTAATCACTATGGCGGTATTCCCGAACGATTATCTGGCGAATTTAATTTTTTGAAAATTTTTCCGAAATTTATTTGAGTGTAGCTCAGCATCCGCTGGACCAATCAAAAAGTGCGCCATACATTTTTTGTTCGAGACTCCTGGGTTAAGACTTTGGCGGTATTCCCAACCAATTATCTCGCAAATTTAATTCTTCGAAATTTTTTAAAAAATTTATCTGAGTGTAGCTCAGCATCCGCTGGACCAATCAAAAAGTGCGCCATACATTTTTTGTTCGCTACTTTTTGCTAAAGACTTTGGCGGTATTCTTGAACGATTATCTCGAAAATTTAATTTTTCTAAATTTTTCCAAATTTGTTTTCTAGTGTAGCTCAGCATCCGCTGGACCAATCAAAAAGAGCGCCATACATTTTCTGTTCGCTACTTTTTGCTAAAGACTCTGGCGGTATTCTTGAACGATTATCTCGAAAATTTAATTTTTCTAAATTTTTTCAAATTTGTTTTCTAGTGTAGCTCAGCATCCGCTGGACCAATCAAAAAGTGCACCATACATTTTTTGTTCGAGACTCCCGGGTTAAGACTTTGGCGGTATTCCCGATCGATTATCTCCCAAATTTAATTTTTCGAAATTTTTTAAAAAATTTATCTGAGTGTGGCTCAGAATCCGCTGGACCTATCAAAAAGTGCACCATACATTTTTTGTTCGAGACTCCCGGGTTAAGACTTTGGCGGTATTCCCGATCGATTATCTTGCAAATTTAATTTTTCGAAAATTTTTCCAAAATATTTTGGAGTGCAGCTCAGCATCCGCTGGACCAATCAAAAAGTGCGCCATACATTTTTTGTTCGAGACTCCCGGGTTAAGACTTTGGCGGTATTCCCGATCGATTATCTCGCAAATTTAATTTTTCGAAAATTTTTCCAAAATATTTTGGAGTGCAGCTCAGCATCCGCTGGACCAATCAAAAAGTGCACCATACATTTTTTGTTCGAGACTCCCGGGTTAAGACTTTGGCGGTATTCCCGATCGATTATCTCCCAAATTTAATTTTTCGAAAATTTTTCCAAAATATTTTGGAGTGCAGCTCAGCATCCGCTGGACCAATCAAAAAGTGCACCATACATTTTTTGTTCGAGACTCCCGGGTTAAGACTTTGGCGGTATTCCCGATCGATTATCTCGCAAATTTAATTTTTCGAAAATTTTTCCAAAATATTTTGGAGTGCAGCTCAGCATCCGCTGGACCAATCAAAAAGTGCGCCATACATTTTTTGTTCAGAACTTTCTTCTAACTACTTTGGCGGTATTACCGAACAATTATGTCGTGAATTTAATTTTTCGAAAATTTTTAAAAAATTTATCTGAGTGTAGCTCAGCATCCGCTGGACAAATCAAAAAGTGCGCCATACATTTTTTGTTCGAGACTCCCGGGTTAAGACTTTGGCGGTATTCCTGATCAATTATCTCTCAACTTTAATTTTTCGAAATTTTTTAAAAAATTTATCTGAGTGTGGCTCAGAATCCGCTGGACCTATCAAAAAGTGCCCCATACATTTTTTGTTCGAGACTCCCGGGTTAAGACTTTGGCGGTATTCCCGATCGATTATCTCGCAAATTTAATTTTTCGAAAATTTTTCCAAAATATTTTGGAGTGCAGCTCAGCATCCGCTGGACCAATCAAAAAGTGCACCATACATTTTTTGTTCGAGACTCCCGGGTTAAGACTTTGGCGGTATTCCCGATCGATTATCTCGCAAATTTAATTTTTCGAAAATTTTTCCAAAATATTTTGGAGTGCAGCTCAGCATCCGCTGGACCAATCAAAAAGTGCGCCATACATTTTTTGTTCAGAACTTTCTTCTAACTACTTTGGCGGTATTACCGAACAATTATGTCGTGAATTTAATTTTTCGAAAATTTTTAAAAAATTTATCTGAGTGTAGCTCAGCATCCGCTGGACAAATCAAAAAGTGCGCCATACATTTTTTGTTCGAGACTCCCGGGTTAAGACTTTGGCGGTATTCCTGATCAATTATCTCTCAACTTTAATTTTTCGAAATTTTTTAAAAAATTTATCTGAGTGTGGCTCAGAATCCGCAGGACCTATCAAAAAGTGCCCCATACATTTCTTGTTCGAGACTCCCGAGTTAAGACTTTGGCGGTATTCCCGATCGATTATCTCGCAAATTTAATTTTTCGAAAATTTTTCCAAAATATTTTGGAGTGCAGCTCAGCATCCGCTGGACCAATCAAAAAGTGCGCCATACATTTTTTGTTCAGAACTTTCTTCTAACTACTTTGGCGGTATTACCGAACAATTATGTCGTGAATTTAATTTTTCGAAAATTTTAAAAAAATTTATCTGAGTGTAGCTCAGCATCCGCTGGACCAATCAAAAAGTGCGCCATACATTTTTTGTTCGAGACTCCCGGGTTAAGACTTTGGCGGTATTCCTGATCAATTATCTCTCAACTTTAATTTTTCGAAATTTTTTAAAAAATTTATCTGAGTGTGGCTCAGAATCCGCTGGACCTATCAAAAAGTGCACCATACATTTTTTGTTCGAGACTCCCGGGTTAAGACTTTGGCGGTATTCCCGATCGATTATCTTGCAAATTTAATTTTTCGAAAATTTTTCCAAAATATTTTGGAGTGCAGCTCAGCATCCGCTGGACCAATCAAAAAGTGCGCCATACATTTTTTGTTCGAGACTCCCGGGTTAAGACTTTGGCGGTATTCCTGATCAATTATCTCTCAACTTTAATTTTTCGAAAATTTTTCCAAAATATTTTGGAGTGCAGCTCAGCATCCGCTGGACCAATCAAAAAGTGCGCCATACATTTTTTGTTCAGAACTTTCTTCT